ACTCTGAGATACATTCAGGTACAACAGCAACACAAATAGCAATTGATGACCTATTCATCATGTTTGGATTACTAACCATTTAAGAACTACTTTGTGTTTTTTCTGCATTATCAGTTTGCAAAAATGACCAGAAATGATGTCAGAAAAAGAGGAGTGAGCACTCGGTGCCAACCAAGCCTGCAGGACAACCAAGAAGTTGCCCTTTTAGGGAACTTTGGCCCTGCTTCTGTCACAATCACGGTCACACCACTGCACACAGTCAACACTTCCAGGATTTCTTTGTAAAGGAAAATGAGCCAGAACAGAATTCAAAGTTGATATAGAACTCACTGTGATCTTTGTTTCCACTTACATCCAAGACCTTGAGTTGTCTTGTTCACAAAGTGTGAAGTCTGTTAGACGCCTTCTCTTTTCACATTGTGGTTCCTAATGGACTTTACCAATCATGACTACATTTGTCATGAAATGAAAGAAAAGAAAACACACTTTGTACATCGGGTATGCTTGACATCTATGAAAGAAACAAGCTAATTTTGAAGTCAATCCTTTTACAAAAAAACAATTGTGTTTCAAAAACTCCCACAGCATCCCTGCAGTCCTTTTATGGAATTATAGTCCCATGGTAGCATGTTTGTACTCTGGTTTAAGTTAAATGACAATTGTCAAAGTTGATGGATGCAGGGAGGTCCCAAATGTAGACTGGCAGTGAAGATACTTTAATAGTGAAATAAAAAAAAAAAGGCAACAGGCAGGCAGATTAAAGGAAATCAAAACTCCATGCAACAATGAAGACGAACTGGTTGCTATAAGAAGTGAGTGACTACTTACAGGGGGAAGTGGCAACAGGTGAGCAGGAGGTTTGACGACTGCAGGCCTAACGAGGGACAGCTGAAACTAATCAGGGCGGAGCAGACAACCAAAACAGGCTTGAAAACACACAAAGGCAGGAAGTGAAGTGATCTGAAAAGAGAGGAGCGGTGAGTAACACGATAAAACAGGACACGCAAAACCAAACAAAGAAATATTGAGGGTTAAATATCATTGGGAATATACTTTGCACCTGATTTGGTCACAGTTCAATGTCAGAACCTTTAAAACATGCCCAGTTTGCTGTACAGTTCAGGACACACAACAACACTCACTTCCTCACTTTTGTAACCTGCCCCGCCCTTCTGCATCTATACAATAATTCCTCTGGCTGCATTATCTTAACGCTGTTGTAAAAGATGGAGATGATCAGTTTGTTCTTTCATGGGTGACTGGTGACTGTGTGCGCTCTGTAATATCATGGAAGGGTTACTGTCTCACAGCAAACTGAAACAGTATCCACGCTGTGCTCTTTCAAGTTCCTTGCAACAGGTCTTTGCAGGTGTTTCACGTTCCTTGCACTTGAACTGGTCTGAACATAGTTCTCTTTGCACTAAAAGTACAACAGCAAGGTTGTCACCTGCAACTTAGTCCTTTTCATTTAATTTACAATTTGGTTATTAATGTATGTTACATTTAATGGTCTGGCTTTATATATATATATATATATATATATATATATATATAAAACATTTTAAATACATTATTTTGCCTTAGAAAACAGTATGTCCATTATATTGATAAAGCAGCAGCAACTGACATTTAATCAAACAAACTACCCATGCTTAGTATTTACTATTGGCCTGAGATGAGTTTTAAATAGAATTCATAGCCACCATTTCACATGCAGTGCTCCATTGTTGAATCAGGTTTTACTCTTGTACACTTCTTTGCCACCGGACATTAAACTCAAGCCTATAACGCCACACTTAGACACACTTGTTGGCATGTCACCATATCCATATCTTCTAGCACCTTATTATTTATCTAGTAAACACTGTGAGTATGTCGGGGAAAGCTGGGGGCGATCATTCTGATGTCAAAGGGATAAAGGGGATACAAACTAGTGACAAGGTTTTTACAACTCTGGCTGCGACCGGTCGGAACGAGGAATTTCCACTCTTTGGTAGGACACTGCAAACATGTGACAATCATTCCTTCCTGTGTTTGTGTTTCTCTTGGATGATTGAAAACCTGTGAGATTTCCAGTTGCCTAAAAAGAGGAACATTTCCTGACGGGATCCACCCATTTACACACATCCACCAGTGAGTGACACTCTACATTTTGTCAAACTGCTGACATGTATCAATATTTTAGAAGTCAGGTGCTGGTTGGAATATATATATTTCTTCTTCCAAAGTCAATTCCTGAAGCTTAGACCACACTATGCCATACAATGCTTTTCATCTCCCTCCAAAACGTATTTAAACCAAACATAACTATTCTACAACATTACAAAAGGCACCAGAGTGATACCTAACAAAGCCATCAACAAATACAACTGCTTACGATTAAGAATACAATATGCTGGAGCTGACTCAGAGTCCAATTGATTACTTGGAAGCAAATTATGACTGTTATTTTGTCAGATAATGAAAGTCAGAGGGAAGATAACAGAAAGAAACTGGAGATTAGAGGCAACACATCTACAACGACATTAACAACTAATTTAAGTTATTTCACTGGAATCAGTGAATTCACTTCACAAAACACACGTGGGCTGCTTTGCCGTTATATTTATGCTCATCAGAGCTTTTGGGGCATCCTATTAAATGTCACATTACTCATGTCCTATCCCATTGACATATTAGTATTTTGCCAATTGAAAATGTATATATATATTTTTTATACTGGGATCTATTAGGTTGCCTAAGTCTCCCTTATTTTGCAGAAGGACTCGGGTAAAGAGATGCCAGTCCAAGATCCAGACTGTCCGTCCTAAAGGTTTGACTCTTGTAGAAGAGAGCATTAATCGATTAATTAATTTGTCTCTTATATTTTGAGCTTAAAAATGGCTGCAGATTGGAACCAAAAGTTAGTTTGACATAGTAACCCATGAGGGAATTTACAATATCACCGCACTCATTGATGATTAACAAACATGTTGGCGGAATATCATGTTTGAGAAGTGAAATATTCTTGAAGTAATGTTTTATTGCATTTTCATTGGCCTCGAAAACAGAACGAAGTACTTTTTTTTGTTGAAGTTCATGTTTGCTTTTATAACTTTAGGTCGGGTGGAGCAAATCTTTCAGATGTGGACAAGCTATGATTTGAGATGCGCCTATGCACGCACAGAAATCCCCACGCTCTCAAATACACACACATTCGCATGCTAGTAAGGCCCTTGGGAGTGAAGGGACTGCAGACATTGTGGTGCCTCAGTCACTGTAATCACCAAAGTGCTAGGGGACTTATCAATCCATCAGAGAACGTTTTCACATGCTCACACCCTGTATGCATCAAAGCCATGATTAAAATATCTGAGAAAACAGTCATCCTGTACCAAAACAAACTCTTGTTTCTAGAGAGTTTTCCCTCCACGGTGCAATAAAAAATAAAACCCACTCAGAGAAAGTGGTTGGTCGAGGGAAATTTCCTTTTCATCTTGCTCTTAAGGATCTGAGTCATTGAAGCCTGATGATATCTATTACCATGCATGGACTTATATCTGAAAGGCTGAGCAGACTGTTGGCAAAATAAGTTGGGTATGCTTTCTTCAAGATTCTTTGTCAGTATTGAAAATTGGCCATGAGGCTCCAGGGAGCACGTGGCATATCTCCAGGCTTATGGTCTGCACACATCCCTGTGGATCGCCCACAATTCACGTCTAAGCCTCTTAAAGACATGGAGCATTTAACACGACTTGAACTGAAATTGCAATGTGACGCTGCAGGGAACCTCGAGTTGTAAGGGATTAGAGGGTGACAGGTTGGTGGATGATTTTACACTGAAGATGCCTATAAGTGAAATTCAAATGCAAGAGGAAGACATGAAAGATGAGTCGATAAACAGCTTTTTGACTGATTATAGAATCATAGGTATAGTTCAAAGGTATCATTCACATCTCTTGACTTTTTGTTTGCTCCCTCAAACCCATCGGAAGCTGCGCTCAAAAGCGAGAACAATGCCGTCGCCGCACGCAAGCGTTCCCAAGCGTTCCCAAGCGTTCCCAAGCGCCTATTTTTTTAGGGCCCCATGGCTGCGCCCCTAGATAAAAATAATTCAACTTTTGGAACGCTGCAGCGCGTACTGCATGTCATGTGACAAGGAGCGACCAATTGCAGCGTTACATTATTTTTCCTTATTTCCGTCAATTAAAGTAAATATATGGAAGAGATGTTAGGGCAAGCCTAGTTGGAGCTTTACTATCAGTTCCATATTTTATTTGCTTCACCCTTGCCGTCGAAGGACTTCACAACTGACACAAAACAAATCGAGCAATAATGCTATAAGTAATTTCCTGTGCTTGTTTTGACTTTGTTTAGTGAGACTTTCTGCCTACTGCTTAGTAATGGCAGGTGCGATAGTAGCGTAATCCTCCCAAGCACTTCAGATAAAAGGATGAAAGCGGCACGGCTAGTGTTTTAGATGTTGACATGTGAACGGCCCCTGAGGCTGATTCTACAGAGTTTACACTCACAGCATGGCTCTCTGTAATTGACTGTTTGCTAAGCCCCCCCTGGTGATCTCATTAGGCAGTTTACAATGAAAACAGTCACTTCTAGCTCAAAACCACATGAAGCTCCAGCGTAAGTTCAGTAAGGAAGATTATACTCTTGCATGCCTATTTCACATACATCTGCATGATATCAGCTGTTTAGATCAGCCGGTCTCCTCTATCCAATAGCACAACAAAACAATTACATCGTTAGCCTATCATCTTGCTGCTGTCTCTTTTTAATGATGACGCAAAGCAGTCTTCGCTGATCCGTCAGCTTTGTCAACTCATCATTCTATCGGCCTCATCAGTGTCTGGACTCTACGTGGGGGATTTATGTTGCTGCTGCTCAGGGCAGTCGCCCCTTCGATTACAAATCTCCCTGTAGAGTCCAAGCGCCAAAGACTTTATCATCACATATCATCTGTTAATTATAAACAATTGTCTTTTCTTCATTTGACTTGTCTCTCCTGATTGAACTGTCGACTTGTAGTAGGTTTTATCAGCCGTGGCCAGCTAGCTAATTCAGCCAACATCATGCGTCATGTATTGGATTCGCTGGCTGACTTTTTAAAAATCCCTATAAAGGGATCATTAATATTGACTGGATGCCTACATGGGTGATATTGTGCTGAAAGACTGAGGCTAAAGCTAACAGGTCTCAAGTTAAAAGTCACCATCCTCATCAGTTGATGGTGAATGTAGAAGAAAAGTAAGAACAGCGTTGTTTTTATGTGAGCTAGTAGATATAAGTAAGAAAAGGAAAACTCACATTCATCCTCACAAAAGGGTAACAAGCCAGATAATCATTTTCCCAAAGAGAATGAAAGTGTGACAGATAAAGAGGCAGAGAAGGCGAAAGATATAACAGAGAATATGTTCCATAAAGTATGACTTGTTATGAGGAGCATACGTTGTTAAAGGTAAGCGTCCGATATCATTGTTATCCATGACATCCTGATGTATTAACTGATTTTCAAAACCTGCTGGATAAGTTGCTCTGTTCATGGATTTCAGCATTCCTAATTATAACTACATTTTAGGCTTCTAATCTTCATTCAGCAGATGAACATATTTGAATGCTTAAAATGAACATTAAAAACCCTTTTTGAAATAGAATTTGCTGCTCTGTTACTCGGAGCATTGGGCAGACATGCAGTTTCAACAGGAGAGTGGAAACATTTTCACAATATCCCGATCTCCTTCCTGTCCATCATTCCATCTGGATCCCGTGCTGATGACTGCTTTTCCCATACTGAAATAGATTTAACTGCTGTCAGTGTGCAGGCCTGATGCATTAAGGCGGCTCATACCTTATTCTTCAAGTTCTTCGTATTGTAGAGATGGTACTCATTGTCATAGAGGACACATCAATGAGAACAGTACAAGCAACATGTACATCATTTATTTCAATACAAATGTTACAACACTTACACTTGCGTTTTTTTCATAAATACCACAGGACACCACATGTTGTAACAGGCTTCATTACCTTAACAAACAGTGACAACAACTTGTGCAAAAACAAACACTGCAAACATTTAGTAAACATTCAGCTGAGTGACGACTTCTTTCACTCGAAGACAAAACAAAACAGTTCACATGTAATAGGTTTGTTTTTCATATGATGACTAAAGCAGTATATTTAACTTTCACAGAGAAATAACATTCTCAATTTATCAGGACAGTCCACCTTCAACAGCGTCTGTGCTGAGACTTTGCAGTTTCTCATGATTCTCGCTTTTATAGTCGCAAACAGGAAAGAGGACTTTCACAAAAATATTATGGCACAAGTGAACTCTGCAGCCAGTCATTGTTTATAGTTCACAAACTCAAACGTGGATTCAATTGTTAACATTTTTTTTTGTTGCAAATGTTTCGTGAAAGTGCCATTGAGTGCTTCGTTAGCGAACGATCCTAATCTAAATCATGGCGAGCTTTTTATGGGGGGGGTAATGTGACTTGTAGGAAATAGGAACAATAATGAATCAGTGAGGATAGCATTAGCATTAGCATTAGCCCACCTTAGCCTGGATCATATTAAAATATAGACAGGATTAAAGATATACACCACACGTTGTAATATATTCTCTAAGACTTGTCTTTAACCCAGAATCCACTTTTAAAATAACCTTCCATGTATGCAGAGTTGGTGCCAGTGGACACGACGGGTGATCTAGGGATAAACTTCATTGGGAGATCTGAATGTTCATTGTGTGCATCAGTAGACAAACCATCAGCTGTACTTGGAATGTTCTAGCGTCAATTAAGGATTCAAGACTCATTGCACATAACTCTGTTGTGTCCTCCAGCATGAGGAGGTGAAGATGTACATAACATTCTCTGTTATTACAGGGGCATTGATGAAACAGTACCATTAATACCTCTGAGACAGCTGAAGTGCAAGGAGAGGCCACTGCCAGGAGGGAGCAGTGTGGACGTATAGTTCACAACCTGCTTCTCTTGGACTCAAACAGATCACTTTGAAAGGAAGTGGCACCATAGTCCACAAACACATCAACACAATTATATATAGCAGACATACAAACCATCACATGCAAAGTGCTTCTTAAAGGACAGACCTTTTAACCTTTTTTCTTTTTTTTTTCAAATCCAGCAGTGACTCATCAATTTAGAGTAAATAGAGTAAACACAATGGTCATATAGCACAAATCTTGGTCTAGAATCGTTATCTGTTTTGTGCTTTGTGCGTGCTGTACAGTGAAAATGCTAGAGGAAAGAAACAACAACCTGGAGAACATTTTTTTATGACATTCAACCCCTGCATTTACTTTGCTGTAAATCCACGAAAAAGAAAAACAGCAAAAAAGATCAACAAACGGAAAGCTTGTTTTTCACATGTCAAACACTGACGTAAGATGACAACATATTTACATCTATTCCTGCGGTCAGTGACAACGGCGCTGACCAAATCTAGCGATACAGTACATATGGATTCCTCTGAGGGAACAAAGTTCACAGTTTTGACTCGAGTCAGCTGACTAGAGGCAACACTACATGCACTAAAACACAGGTCACTAACACCGATTTAGACTGGCAGTGAGCCCCTGCTCCCCCCCTCCGCCTTCTATAGCCACATTTAGCATGCTGTCACTTTGAAAGGGGCTTACACCTGTCACCTAGTGTGGGAAAAGTGGGTGAATTCTCCAATTGAAGCACCTGCATGTGAAGCGCTAATATTCCATTATTGCTTGCCAACGTCAAAATGTCCCAAGAGCCCGCGACCTTAAGACGGGAGATAAGAAAGAGAGTCTCATTTCAGGTTGGCCCTATGGATCTCATCAAATCGCATTATGCAAATTGGGAACTGTGTACTTTATAATGTACTAATCTATTTCAGTGTTCCCTAAGGAACAAGAGGGAGTTAACTGATTCTCCAGCTAAATGGTAGAGATAATGGATTTATTTGAGTTTATTGTGCTGGGCTCAGCTGGATTGGGGGCATTTCCTGGAGACTGACTGAAACTGACTGAAACAACTGGAACAGCTGAGGCACTGCTCACATATGCAAATGTCAGATGGAATTCACAAAGATCCAGACATCCGTTTACAGTGAGGAGACTCTGGGAAATGTCAGGGAGCAGACACAAAGGTGCACTGCTCAGGACTGTTTTTCTCATCTCCGTTTATCGGCGTCTGAGTAGTCAAGACAAGTATCTGGCCTGGAACGCTGTTATTGCTCAGCTATTTCGACGCACTGTTTAGTATGTGATTGTACCCTTGTGCCATGACTGAGGAAACAGCTTCTCTGGTTTCAGTAAACACCAGATGCTGAAACACAGCAACCACACATTTTAATAAACAAAACTGTGCAACAAAATGGACTGTTACTGTTGCTACCGCCACATAGAGGGGACAAGAAAGACTCATAGTTTGCCTTAATGGCTTTATAATGTATCAAATACCAGTTTACATGTTACGCAAATGAACCAGCGGACTGAATGCAGAATATGACTGGTAGGCTGTGTGGTAGAAAACTTTGTTAAACACCGTGAATTTATTTGTGTAACAGGTGCAGGCGTTAAAGATCAATAACCAGGGTTAACCACATTGATGTCATCTGCTTTAAAGATATTATACATCTTTAGGGCTCACAGTGGAATCTGGCTGATACAACATATACAAACTTGCAAGTTTTCGAGGATGGCCCCAGGCGTTTCTCAGCTCGCACCAGTGAGATATAGATAACTTCATACCTCTGGTGCAATCTGCTGGCAAGAGGAACACCCATGCAGCAGGCTGTAAAACACTAGAGCAGGCAGCAGGGCTTCACCACATTGCTGAGCAGTGAGGAGCGAGACAGAGAGAGAGAGGTTCTACCACACCTGTTCATTATCATTGTCTTTCACACTGAGACAATCAATCAAAAAAACATAAATAGAGTAAAAAACTAAAATAAATCATGATTTTGGTTGACTTGGAATGTATCTCTTCAAACAAAGCACCAAAGAGGCATAAAGGGTAATACTTGCATGCTCCTCATCCATTCTCTGATGGAAAAAATGACTCTCTATTCGTGCCGAATTGGCATGTCCGATGGGACATTTACAGCCTCCAACAACACTTACTTTGAATTTCAAAAACATTTTTATGGTAATAAATTGCGGGGTGTTTTGCCAAGAACTCGGAGACAAGAAACATGGCCACAAATTTAATCTGAGCCAGATAATTAGCAATTATATAATGAACAGATCATTTAGTAGAGTAAATAAACAGCTGAGATACTGCCCGAGTGTAACTCTTGTGGACAGTGAGTTAAGAAACACATGAAAAAGATGTGATGAGGTAGATGAAAGTTAAACATGGGAAATGTAACAAAAAGGAAAAGTGATCTACCTACAGTATTTGCTCACTGTGTTGAAAGAGAAATACTTCCCTCTGCTGAACATGTATATTACAGTTTCTGTAAATCAGTCTCTACCAGCCAGTTTGACTGGCCTTACCTTCATTAGTCAAAAAGTTCATGACTGCAGTGTAAACATGTCCGGGTCTCCCTGTTGACAGGAAGTCTCAGGGCTCCAAGTTTAAAGGACGGTCGTTACAGTCGATAGGCCTTTGTTGCAATTCCCGTTGGGGTCCGCTGCTCTGTCCACAACACTGCAGACCCCCTGTGTCTTCCCCAGACACCCTTCATTAATGTCATTGTCTTCCAAGCTGCCCTTACTCCTCCCTTGCTGCTCGCTCTGCCAGCTGTGCCTGCTGTAGACGTATCCGTTCACTGGCCCCGGGTTGCTGAGCCGGTTCCTCTTCATGCAGAGGATTTCCTTGAAGGCATACCTGAACTCGGGACTCCGGCAGTAAATGAGCGGGTTGAAGGCAGAGTTTGCGTAACCTATCCAGTTGAGTATCCTAAAGGTGACTTCAGTTCCCTCTACCTTCCATATGGCCACCACCACGTTGAGCAGAAAGAAGGGCAACCAGCAAAGAGTGAAGATCCCCATGATGATGCCCAGTGTCTTTAGGGCTTTGTGTTCCCGCAGGCAAAACTTGACCTTCTTGTGGCCACGCCCGTTGTTGGCCTCCAGAGATTGAAGGTTGCTGTTGTCGCTGTTTTGAAAACGTCCAACGCTTTGGTCAATCTTCTTCAGTTGGAGCTTGGCCTCCTGGAAAACGCGGCTGTAGACAAAGACCATGATGACCACAGGGATGTAGAAGGAGATGATGGAGGAGGTGATGGCGTAAGCCATGTTGGTGTCGAACTCGCAGCAGTTAATGTCCGCAATGCATTCCTTCGTATTGTTATCACTTGCTGTCCACCACTTCATGTGGATGGGCAGGTAAGACGTCAAGGCGGCAATCACCCACACCAGCACAACCACAATGCGAGCCTTGCACTTGGTCAGCATCGACTGGTAGCGGAAGGGAGAGGTGATGGCCAAATAACGATCAATGGCTATGACACACAGGGTCTCGATGCTTGCAGTCACGCAGAGCACATCAGTCGCAGTCCAGAACTCGCACCAGAAACTGCCAAAGTGCCAGGTCTTAAAGATGATGTAGCAGGCGCCGAAAGGAACCACGACGAGACCCATGACCAGGTCAGCACAGGCCAGGGATGTGATGAAACAGTTGGTAATATTTTGGAGACGCTGGAAGCGGGCGATGGCTGTTATGACCAGGATGTTGCCAAAGACAATGGCCAGGACGAGTAAGGACATGACCATGCCCAGCAGGATCATGGTTGCCTCACTGTAAGCCTCCTCATTCTTAGCTGGGTCTGATGACGAGTTGGTCATCACTGCACTCACATTGAGGTACACTGGGAGGGTTGTACTTCCCATCTGAAGAGACCATATGTAGATCACACACACACACACACACACACACACACACACACACACACACACACACGAAGATCACGATTTAAAAGTAACTGCATCAAAACAACTAGCACTAAAAAGAATCTGATGTGTCTTGTATTTCCACAAAAAAGGGGAACAGAAATTACAGCACCAACACCTAAAAACAAAAAATATACTACATCCTGCTTGCCTTCAGCAAGCACAGCTTAAAAAAACCAACATGCTAAACAAGAAAATAAAAATGAAAGTACAAACCTCCACAGGTAGTTGTCTGGTTTCCTGCCTCCCATACAAAGTGGAAATGTCACTCTTCAGTTAGTCCTTTACTATCACATGTCCTTCTTTCCACTGTCTGTTTTTCTTAACCTCCTTGTGTCTCACTCACTCAGTCCCTCAGTTGAGCAGTGTTTCCTCTAATGTGTCTCCCGGGCTATTTGTCAGAGCCCTTATAACGTGCAGTGGTGACATCATGGTCAGTGCTCAGCCAATCAGACAGCCAGCCTGCGGAGGGTGCTGAGAGCTCCCGAGAGTTTGAACACATTGTCTCATGCAGCCGCTGCTGCTGCTGCATGAGACAAAAGCTGCAAACGCAAACCTTTTCTGACTTTAAGTTTTAGCTAGACATCTTTTAAACATGTGTAAACTAAGTTTTTTAGAATGCGAACATTGATTTTACGGTTTAGAGAGTAGAGTAGAGAGAGTAGTTCAGCTGCACATTTCAAGCACTGAGGTTTTCCATGTTTTGCCTGTTGGTCTGGATCACATCAAAAACAGGTGACGCTTTCTTTGACTCTTTGTAGGAGACAATTGGATGTGGTCCAACTGGCATGTCTAACCGACTCCAGTGCGCACTCTATGATTTATTGGGAGGTTTGACTATTACTTTTGCCTTTTCCTGAAAAAACCTTGGTGTGTTAGTGCTTTTCCTGCCATGATGCTTTGACAGAAAAATATAGACCAGCTGCATACAACTAAAAGAAAGTGGTTGACTCCTTGCAGATACAGCACATTATATCAAAAGCATGTCCTCATGTAATGCTACATTGTAAGGTTAAACTGCAGAAAACTCCCTCCTATTCCTGGTATCAATCTACTCCCACTGCCCAGAAAGAGTACCCTGCACGACACGAACAAACTCTCACGCTGTACTGCATCAAGATAGAAAAAAAATACAGTTTCAGGGCAAATTTGCAAAACAAACAGAGCTCAGCGCTGGAACCAAAATGCTACCAGTGACAGATAAAGGCAGAGAGAGGAGAACAGATCAGTGGGGTGTAAATGTGTTTATTCAGTTCGTGCTTGTAGTGAGTCAGTGTGATGTGCTCACACTAAATAATACTATGAGTATGTATAGACGTACATTATTGTATACGAGCATTAGCTGAGTGTGTGTTTGAAGAGTTAGCAGGTTATTTAAATTAAAAGAGCCCTGTTAACTTTATGACCACTTTGGACTCGGGGAGACACTGGAGACCTGAACTGCCTGCATTAAGGTCCCACATCACACGCAAACAGTATTCATTCTGTGAATAAAGAATACGCCCTGAGTCCTGACACCACACAACTATCCAAAATCACACCGGCATGTGTTGTGGATGGGGAGTTTTCCTTTCGATATTTACTGCATTTCCTTGTTCGTGACGCGAACTGCAGTCCAGGGATCAATGCTCGTTCAGACACCCGTCATCAATAGGTGTAGATGAACACATTTTTTCTCAGGCTTCTTGTGCAATGATTTTGCTGCAGTTCTCTTTGATAATAAACAATTATTTAGCTGACACACAGTACGGGGCGAGGTCAGGTTAGGTTTATAGTTTAGTTCTTTACAGGTGTGTTTGTAACTCAATACAATAGAGCTCAGATGCATTACTTCCTGTTATGATTTCTCATATTCCTTTTGAGCCTTAAAATATATTTACCTTATGTTTCCTCCCTAGTGGAGGTCCATCCATCCAGCTCTTTAATCCACGGCAGAATCTCACTAATTTCAAGACAGATTACCATAAAATGCACTAAAGTTATTAATTGCAGAGATTTTGGTGATCCTGTGACCTAAACACTTCATTGCATGACAGTGTATCTTTGCATGGTTCCATGAACATGGATATTCATGATCTCGGAATGAATTCAAATGTTTTGATGACCTCCTTACCTTTCTTCTAGCGCTGCCATTGGGCTGAAATTTCCGTTTGTAATATAGGAATCTTTGCCCTGAAATTGACACATCTCCCTTCACTTAAGGATAGACCCCTTTTCATTTTGAACGCCCATTGAGCTTGAGTCTTGCATCAATGACGTGCAAATGTCACCGCTGCACCTCAGATTAACGTCATTGGGCCTTATTGAATCAGCTAACATGACTTTAGTGGCACACATGGCCTTATCTCTTGATCAACCGACAGGACAAACCCAACGTGTTTAGCTCACCCCTAACAAGGTCAGTATGGTGTCTGTAATCCTCCACTTGTATGGATTGTGTGGTATATAACGAAATCTGGAACCTTTGTGGGCTCAGTCTGCTTTTACATAGAAACAGACTATATAAATAATATAAAAGCTGTCTTCTATCATTTTATTTTTACAGAGTGATGAGCTATGAGCTTTGAGAACTGAAGTCCTCAATAATTGATTCTTGGGATAAACCTCAGTCAGCTTCTGCACTTGTTGAACTTTGGGTACGTACCTTACATGTAACGTAAATCCGATTTCTATTTCGGAAAGTGTAAGTCTGCACGTTCGATTAATCATGACCGGTTTCCTCAGTCTGTCTTCCTGTATCCTGTCACTCCCAGGCAGAGCTGGGATCCTGTCCCCAGTTAGATATTGTATTCACTGTTAGAATCTCCTCTCCACACCATCTCCAATTAGATTGCCATCTCTCTCCTTCAAAGAAAGTTGCGATGTTGACCTGATGACCCAGTACGCACCTCCCACCTCCCCCGACTCTACTTTTCCTGTACTCTGTGAGGAACAATACCTGGAGGCATTGCTCCTCTAGGGAAAGCCCTCAGGGCCATGAGAGGAAATGAGACAAGCTAAATACTTTCTCTCACTTGTTTTCTTGAATGACAATTGACTTTACTGGTATTACTCTTGCCTTGTTTGTAAAAGTAAACGCTCATCCAGTTTCTTGCTGAGAGTTAGATGAGACACCGCTCTATCGATCATCTTATCTAACACTCAACTAGAAACTGATGTTGAATAAATATCACCAAATTATTACTCAGTAAAATGTAATACTGTGACAACCAGCAGACTGAATTAAAGACTTCTAGACAGTGCTGCCCCAGAGCCATATCAGTCATTATGAGTGAATCATTTAATTAAATATCAACACTGACGAATCAACACTAGCTGGTGCTCAGATCAACACCATTTCAGAAAAAAATATATGAAGATTCTATATAAGTAATGTAGCAGATGTATGTAATATAATAAATATATTATATAAAGATAAATATATTTGCAAGGTGCAAAGCATAGATACTGCTACCAGCCTAATCCTAACCCTAACCTTAAACCAAGCCTTCACACGAAAATGTAATGATTTATATCATGATGTGTATTTTTTCCCCACAAGGGAGGCGAGTCCTCACAATGTCAGTGTGTAAACAGTTGTATGTCCCCACAAGTCATGAAAACATAACAACACATTAGGCACACATACACACACTTTTGTCCAAAAACACAGTGTTTTATTTGAACACACAAACAATAGAAGCATAAAAAATGAGTTATCAAAAGTGCTCTACCTTCATGCGACGCCGTTATCAATTGGTGCATATTTCATAAGCCCTTATTTTCTCTTTAAATTTCTCATACAGGAGACAGAAGGAAATGAGAACAACAAAAATGTATTTCAAATTGAATGCGATGATGGGAAAAAAGAAAATCTGTGCTGCTGACTGTCTAGCCATGACTAATCCAGTCAATCTCCGTCTGATTTAAGGAATTATTGTGAGGCCAATCGTGCCTTTATTTAATTCATTGGAACATACAGTGCCTGAACCACTAATTAGTTTGGTAGTAAAGGCCCCTGGGGGACTGCGGGTGAGGCACACCCAAAACAAAAAGACTTTATGACCATCAAAGACCAAAACTTACTGCACTGTTTGCACTGCCATGCATACAGACACAGAGTGTGTTATTGATGCTGGTGGAAAGTATCCAAGTTGGTGTTACGTGTTTTTTCAGATCAAGAGAAACGGTAAGACAAAACTGTTTGTATATTTGAAATGGATCAGACCATATATAGACTCAGCAGTTACTGACTGGGAGTCATTGTTCACTCAGTTTGCCCCTGATAAAGTTCAGACGGAGGAAGAGGTTGTAAAAACACTTCACTGTACTATTCAACATCGTTTGGGCTGTGGCTTCCAGACAGAGTTCAATATATACAAAAGATAAATAAAAAAAAATGTAGTTATGAGGGGGGGGGGGGGGGGGGGTGTCTGACCAATGTAACACATTCAGTGTTTCCCTGCATGGCTTGCAATTGACAAGGGACAGCAAACTCTACTGCAGTCAATGAAGGAGGGCAGAATGGCTTCACAAAGCCTTTCTTTGCTTGGCAGAAAACTTGTGGGACTCATGAGAGTCACATGATTTGTCTTATTAACTTCGTAACACACAAAGCAAAACATTCAGAGTCTATTAGACTTATTATAGGACATGTTCATGAAGGTTAAAGGTTGTATGCTGTAATTGGCCCGATGACAGATTCAGTTAACTTGAATTTTCTGTTAGTAAGACAGGAATTCTGCCTTGAATCTGGGACTTAGGGCATGATTTATGGTGCAAATTAGATCGTCAAGGCCTGAGTTGAATTAGTACCTTTGTTTAAAGCATAACCATCCTTGTGTTTAAAGGTTACTGGTACATGCAAACTTGAACCTAAAGGCACGACAAAGAGACAGAGATACAAGGATAGTTCAGTTTACTCATTCAGGAAGAGGGTCAAAACCGGGAGATCATACGTACACTCAGGCAAACCAATCCAAAAAGGGGCAGGCAGAGAATCCAAAGTCAAAACGGGCAGGCAAGGCCGGAACAGGCAGATCATATACAGAAACTAGAATAACGCTGGAGAGCTTTGCAGTAACACACAAGACAATCTGGCAGGGATCAAGTGCAAGTGGACGGATCTAATTAGTGAGGATCTAATGAGAGAATGGGCTGCAGGTGAGCGTGGAAGACCAGGCCAGGGGAACGAGTGGCAGGACGTGAAATGACAGGAGGAAATGACAGTAGAGGCAAGATCAAAACAATCTAAAACATAGTGGAATTTGTGACATTGTGAGGATTTAATTAGTGTGCACAAATCTGTACCAATCAGCAAAAAAGTCCCTGTAGACCTTTCGGTCAGCACAGAGGGGAATTACAATCCATCTTTGCTTAAAAAA